ATACATTGTTTCCACCTCTCATTGAATCGCGTGGTCCTAGATGTCTAAGTACGTCTAGAATACTATTTACCGGAGAATTCCCTAGACCGCGTAGGTGCAGCCGGTGCAAATCAGTAGGACATACTCGCCAATATTGTACAAATCATGTTCTTGTAAATGATAGTTAGATCATTTGGTAATGTTTTCCATTTGAATTAAACAGTGTTTACATTTATTATACGATGACAAATTAATTGCCGTCATAGTTAATAATCATTTCATAATCCATCACAGTGTGTTACAAACATTTCATAAGTACAACAAATCAATATTTACAGTGTTCACAATTATTTCGTAATTACAAAAAATTACAACTAATAATTACAATAAATCTATGGATCACCATTAAAATAGAATAAGTCGCACGTCAATTTATTCTACTGGCTCTGTATCCAGGATTGGTTGATTTCATCAACCTTATGTGTTATACTCAGAAATTCGATGTACTTTATTATAAAAATGTCACAATCGCCCCTGCAAATGAACAAAAATGAGTTCGATCAGTACCGTGCAGCAAAAAAAATTAAGTATTAAATTTTAAAAAATTTAGAACCACTTATGATATCGTCTGCCTCGCTGTATTCGTGTCTCGCATGATGACTAATCTGTCCTTCACAGTCAATCCCACCTGTCTACCTGTCATAGGGATAAAAACAGCAATGGGCACCAAATTTTGCTCGAGCTGACCCTGTGTCAGACATGAATGATCGGGGTCGTACACGTATATAGTAGACTCAGTGAAACAATCTCTAAGGCCATGCAGTGATGATTCACGATCAGTAGTATGTATTTATGTGTACAACCCTTCCATGACTTCCCCCAACATGTGGCCACATCCCTATGGTCCACTCGAGCATGTAGTCGGGCACCACATGCTCCTTGCCAACATATTGGAGCAACTGGTACTCAATATCAACACCTCGTCCGAACTCCAAATTGAGTATGACTCGGTTAGGACTGTCAAATGAGATCGGATATCTTCGAACCCGATCACATAACAAGTCCATGGGTAGGTCGATGTGTTGCATTAAAAAATAGCAATACAAAATGGAGTTATTTCATTACATAAACAAACTATGATATGCAAGTCATAAAAATTAATAGTATGACTACTTCACTTACATCGTCGGCAAGCCGGGCTCCTAAAGTGATGATGTCGTGGAACCACTTGTAAGTATCGAAGATCGTCACAGTATCAATCATACGACAGGTCATGACAAAAGAAACTTAGAAATGTTAAAAAAACGTATACATGTAACGATCACTGGTATGTACTAATACCACTAATATCATGAATACTAACCCGGGCAACATTCTTCTCCACTCCGTCTCGAACGCTTTCCACTCGGTATGGTCCACCTCCCGAAATAGGTTGGGGATCGTCCCATCGACGAACCTCCTCCTCTTCGTCTCAACTGTGAAGGGAGAGACAATGTATTGTAATGGCACTCTCGACCTCTTGCCTACCACCAGCTCCGGCAAGTCAACAACACGCTTTTTAGACCCAGTCACGGTCGTTGTCCTCCTCTCGCCCACCTCGGGCATTGTCCCCTCCTCCGTCCTGACGATCACCACCTCCTTCACGCTCTACTCCTCCTCTGTCCCCGTCGTCACCATCTCCTCAACCATAGCTCCTGTCCCCGAGGGGCCCACCACCTCATCTACTCATGTCAACACCACCTCCTCGACCCCCTCATCAGCCATTGTAGGCGACCGTCGCTCCCGTTCACAATGGGGCCACCCCCTTATCCACCCTCGGGGCCACCCCCCTCTGCCCTCGGATCCACCATATCCTCCATGGACCGAAAAAAGGAGTCTCATGCATCCTCCGACCACAACTGTGATGACTCCCATCTCTATCCTCTCGATCACCCCCTCGATCGTCACCTTCGTCAACCCATCGTCTGCCTGCTATATCACTTCGAAGTGCTATCACTTCATTATGAAGGTTTCCTAAATGCCCGTGCAGCACTCTAACATCATCAGCTATATCCTCGACCCTCTTTACCAACTGACGTCCCAAATCGTCGACCCGCTCCACCATATATCGACGCAGCGCACCGACCTCCTCTGATATAACTCCTATCAGCTCTCGACGCAGCGCACCGACCTCCCCTGATATAACTCTTGCTAGCTCTCTACACAGCGCGCCGACCTCCTACACCATAAATCCAGTCAGGCGATAGTACAGATCATCAGAATAATCACCCTGAGGGGGAGGAAGTGACTCCGACAACAGAGGTGATGCCCTAGGCGGAGGTGATGTCGTCGGTGGAGGTGATGCCTTCGGCGGAGGTGATGCTCGATCAACTGGCTCGCGATCCTACACAAACTTAATATGTAACTTATTCAATAATTGTTAACTCATACAAAATATGAATCAATAATTCACTTACCCAGTCTAGATTGAGGATCGAATCGGACATCTGGTCGTCCTGGGCGTGCAAAATCGCTACTTCACACACGAGATCCTGCGCTTCCTCCTCCATCGACAGCGTCAAATGAGTTAGTACTTCAAGCTGACATATTGACATTTTAAAAAGATAAAATCATGTAATGTTAAACTTTATACAATATAAATCACAAATTTATAATACTCACATGAGGGTCGTCGAGGAGAGCCGATAATTGTTTCCCGGTGGTACATTCCTCCGCTCGAGATGCTCGCCAATAATGCATCCGATGGCAGCGTGTCTCCTCTCGTCGTGCAAAGCAGGTACCCAATATGGGGATGGTTTCATACACCCAGACCTGCAACACATAAATTAGTACATACAAATTCAATAGAAAAATATTTTAACATTGATTGCGTCAATCATTCACCTGCAGCGCCAAGGGGAGTTGGTATGTGTCGTACTTACGCACGAGCCCTTTAGGCTTCGAGTGCGGTCTGGTGAAGATGTGGACGGTGTTCTCGAAACATTGGCGGCTTCACGGATAGCCATTGAAGCGATCTATGTCGTCGACAATCTCGAGGTGGAAGAGGTCGATCGCAGTCTTCTTGTGGTGACATCGCATCACACTCTCAATGATGTAGTCTGGACCAGACTTCAGCCTGTCTAACATCTCGTCACACCTCCTAATCGCGTCCATCAGCTGGGCAAAACCACCGCCCCCTGTCCTTGGAAGCAAGTGTCCTGCAGCCTATTTCTTCTCTGAGTCCCGCCGCTAGCTACCTTATCGCCCTTAATCTTCAATCTAGTCAGCAGGGCAAACTCGAACATGGAAAAGCTAGCAACTTTGCCCCCAGGTCGAAGTGGAGGGTATCGCCGTCAACTGGATTCAGCAGCCGACATAAAAGAGCATCGATTATCTGACCCGAATACTGCAACTCTCTCATAGGGTATAGAGGCCACAGAAAGGACTGACATAGCATATCTGCATGCTGGTCGTCCAGCAGCTCTAGGACCTGGGTGAAACTGTCAAAGTTACTATTCCACGTAACTTTGTCTGACATCTGTCTCAACTCTGCATCCAGATGATAATCTATCCTACAAAAATTGAAACAAAATATTAGAACATTGTACATAAAATAATAGAATGAAACATGATAACCCAAAATTAAGCGAACCGAAATCGTATTTTTAAAATCACAAATATCTTTACACTAAAATTATAACTAAAATGAAAATTTAAATTTAAAATAAAATAAAATACAGAATTAAAACTAAATTAAAAAAAATTTAAAACTAGAATTAAAAATTTAATTTGAAATTAATTTTAAAATAACAAATTTCTTTACATTAAAATTATATAAAATGAAAATTTAAATTTAAAATAAAATTACTCTTACAATTAAATTTAAAATAAAAAGTTGAAATTAGAATTAAAAAAGTAATTTGTAAATTAATTTTAAAAAAAAATTTCTTTAAATTAAAATTATAACTAAAATGAAAATTTAAATTTAAAATAAAATAAAATTAAATAAAAACTAAAATTAAATTTAAAATAAAAATTTAAAATTAGAATTAAATTTTTATTTTAAATTTAATTTTAAAATAACAAATTTCTTTACATTAAAATTATAATTAAAAAATGTAAATTTAAAATAAATTTACAATTACAATTAAATTTAACATAAAATTTGAAACTAGAATTAAAAAAGTAATTTGAAAATTAATTTTAAAATAACAAATTTCTTTAAATTAAAATTATAACTAAAATGAAAATTTAAAATTAAAATTAAATTAAAATTAAAAAGTCAAAATTCAGATTAAATAATTAGTTTGAAAATAAATTCTAAATTAACAAATTTCTTTAAATTAAAATGAAATTTAAAATTTAAAATAAAATAAATTAAAAAACTAAAATTAAATTTAAAATAACAAATTTCTTTACATTTAAATTATAATTAAAAATGTAAATTTAAAATAAAATTTCAATTACATTTAAATTTAACATAAAAAGTTGAAAGTAGAATTAAAAAAGTAATTTGAAAATTAATTTTAAAATAACAAATTTCTTAAATTAAAATTATGACTAAAATGAAAATTTAAATTTCAAATAAAATAAAAAAATTAAATTAAAATAAAATAAAAAAGTCAAAATTCGAATTAAATAAATAATTTGAAAATAAATTCTAAATTAAAACATTTCTTTAAATTAATTTAGGAAATTTAACACTAAAAAAAAAAACTGAATGTTAAACAGTCGAGTCTTGAACCCTGCTGTAAACAGTCGACTGTTGACAGCCGGCCGACTATTGCAGCCGAAATCCATCTCCACTCGTCGGATTCCACCATTTTCGGCGAGATGGAGCTCCCCAAACACCAAAAATTGGCCAATACACTTCATCTGTACGTAAATCTACCCTAAATCTTGAATTTCATACCACAAAAATCATATTCCAATCAATAATCTAACTAAAATTCAACAAAACCCAATAATTTAATTATAATTTTACAAAAATTAACCTTTACGACTTTTAAAAGCTGGCAATCGGAATTTCTTTGGTGAGAAAGATGTCTAGATGGCCAACTGTCAGTGAATTTGATTTTTTCTTTTCAAATTGTCGAGAGAGAGAGGAAGATGGAGGGGTATTTTTAAAAAAATATCTTTAAATTGTATTATTTATTTATTTTTTTAAATTAAGCAAAGGTCAAAATGAAAAAAAGGGCGGGTCAAATGCCCATTTTCACTTATTTCCTCAGTATCCACTTCCACCCGAACCCTTCTATTTCCATTTACCAGGCAAAGGTTGCTGGATATTCCATTTCGTCTTGTATTTGATCTGGGGTGGAGGTCCGGCGTTTTCCAGTAACAGCCGATACAATACGTTTCTATGCTTCTTGTTTAATAAACTGAGTCAATAAATGGTAGTATTATCAGCCGCGTTATACCGATGCGCTTCTCTCTTTGCCCGCCGCTTCCACATTCAAACCTCCCATTTTTTCACCGTAAGATCCTCTTCTTTCCTGCTTTAATTTTTTTGTACATTTACTTTCTGTAGGAAATAGATTTAGCAATTTGTTTACCAGGTTTCTTTTAAGTTATCAAATGCCGGAATTTTTTTGTATTTGGTGTCACCAATTTCCTCATCTTTTAATGAGTAGTACAGCAAATAGTTCATTTGGATTTGATTCTCTCTAACTAAGGATATACAAAAGCATTAGCAAAAGACACTCCATTCTGGAGATCAATTAACAGAGCAGTTGAGTTTATCTAATTTGTTCTTTTATACTTAGCAATTAGAAACAGTATGAGGCCAATTTGTTGGGCAATTAATTATCAGTCATTCTTACTAATTTGGAGTTAGGAAAACACGGAATAATAATAGCTCTTGTTTATATGCCATTGGAGNTTGTTTGGCTCAAAGGAGATCCTGCTTAAGGCTATTGTGCGCAATCCTTCTTTACTTACCTATGACTTCCACAATAAAATTAATCCCATCATTGCCATATATGAGAAACTCGGTGTTAGCAGAAGGGACTTGATTTCTATGCTTCTATCTCGTCCCACCTTAATTCCACGAACTACGCTAGACAGTGAGAAGTTGGATTACATTTCTAGAACTGGCGTCTCACAGGAATCCAGGATTTACAAACATGTGGTTACTCTTCTCGCCATATCACGCATTGAGACCATTCGTGAAAAGGTGATGAATTTAGAGAAATATGGGTTTTCAGAGGACGAGGTTTTCAAGCTTTTCGGACGGTCTCCACTCGTGTTGACACTCTCAATCGATAAAGTTCAGAGAAACATGACTTACGTAGTGGGCACAATGAAGCTACCAGCTAATGTGGTACTTCTTAACCCATTTCTGCTCTTCTTCAACTTGGAAGCCATCATAAAGCCACGATTTCTTCTAGCAGGAAAAATAGAGGGTATGGGTATTGTCCCTCAAATTAAAGGACCTGCAATGCTTAGAGCATTGAGGATGTCTGAGAAGCGGTTCATCGCTGCATTCATTACTTGTCATTCAGAGGATGTGGGCAACGAATTAATCACTTTCTATAAAAATGCTAAATGTGTCAAACGATTAGCAGAGTCTTCGAAGAAGAACCTGAGTAAAGGGTTTCCTTTCTGAACAGTTTTGGAGTGAATATGTATCTTTACATAGTTAAAATTATTATCTCAGGAAGAGGAGAATTTTACCTGTGGTGGTGTTGATTCATTAATTACCTTGTTGTCTGAGATGCCCATAACAGCAAAGCAGTTTACTACAATTTGAGGTATTGGAGACTTAATAGCGGTGTAAATTTAGTTGATTATCTAATTAAACTATCATTCTTTGTAATTTCTCATCTCTGAACGGCCAATATCAGCTGCACATATTTAGCTATTAGTGATAGGACACTAATAACCTTTTTTTTTGTGCTGTAGTTTGTTGGTGATTCTTTATCTTACAATTATAAGAATGTACTAACCTGGACAAGGTTAGTATTTGTTTCCGGTACAGGATAAGTGATAGGGTCTTTTCTGATACGGTGAGATCGTTTTCTCACTCTCTGGTTTAGTGAAATTTGCAGTCTTGCAGAAAGTTTATATTCCTTGTGTATCAAATTACGAAAATTGAATGAATTGGGAGTAGGAGGCTTAGTGGTAGGGGATCAATCAGATGTGTATGTAGAGTTTGTTTTCTTATTTCTTTAATGGCGATCAATGTCCTCTTTCATAATATGTTTGAATGGGGATTTTATGATATAAGTAGAGTAACCAATAGAGTCAGAACACAATTAGCATTAGGTGAATATATTAGCAACTTTGACTGCACTCAAGGTTGATTATTATCGGGATATACTTTTACTAGCTTTCAATGTGCAAAATTGCAATGAAATTTCATTACCTTGATGTAAAGATGTTACATTACATAAGAACGATGATACTAAACATGAATTAAGCTATATGTACATTGTTGTTGACATTTCCCTTTGTGTCAAAATCTAATTAGTAAAGTGAAGATGTGTTGTAAAAATCAATGGCTATATGATGGATGTCATTTGTTAGGATGTTAAATTTACATGGTTGACTGAACATAAGAAATCATTTTGCAAAGCTTTCCACAGACAGATTCTACAGGCAACCACCCAAGACAACCAAATCAACATTTTAAATTTATATATTTAATTTCTTATCTTTAGAGAGAACATGTTTAAATTTATTTGGATTATAACTACTTCAAATTAATGTTTTAGAAATAATGAAAATTTTCCAATTTATGATATTTTGTACTTTTAATTTAATTCAGAAACAAAAATAATTTATAAATTTAACAAATAAAACAATCTCCTTTAGTATTTAGACAGCTTTAAAACCAAACGTTGAAAAATGATAGGCTCTTACCATCTTCAAAAAATCGGCGGTCCTCCCCTTTCTTCGTATTAAATCAAGGCAGCACACGCGCCGGAACCTGCAAATGTCGACGGCAGTCGCATCAGCAATAGTTGTCAACCACAGAATTTTAAATCTCAATCAGAGGAAGTCAACTGTACTACCCGCATCGTCATCCTCATTCATCAGCATCGATTGTCCTCCGTACAGGTACAGATACGACGGGCCTCACAAGAGGAATTCTCATTGTTACCTCACTGGCTTCAAATTCAGACGCCCATTCTCTCCTGTAATGGAATGGCAAGATTGCACGTAATAAGAAATTCCTTTCTTCTTTTTCTTGCATTAATAAAATTTTCTATTAACTTGCCATCTCTCAATTTTTTTTTAGAAATTCTTTTTAACATTTAAGCTAGGCGATTTACTTTTAGTGCTATGCTTGGAGTTTGAGTTGCCAGCTTGCATATTATACATTAGGACTTATAGTCAATTAATTATTATTATTATTATTATTATTTGTTTTTTGTTTTTTGTTTTTTGATTTTTGTTTTTTGTTTTTGTTTTTTGTTTTTGTTTTTTTGTGTGTTCTAGAATTAGATCCTCGTTACCTTTTTCAGGGTAAAGATGGAAATGAATGTGCCCACTGCTGTTGCTTATAAATGTTACTCTGATCGTGAAGCCATTCCTCAATGGATGCCCTTCATTTCATCTGTAAAGGTGAGCAAGGACACATATTCTTTGTGCAGGGCGATTACTGTTTTTTTTCTCGTTTATGTTCTCTGTAGCATGCGTCTTTGCTGATTTTTAGGTATATTGAGTTTCCGCTTTATGAAACTGCAAAATTGGCTAAATTTCATTGTGAGTTTGACACAATTACGATGTACATCTTCATCT